AAATCAATGCAGAAGCGTACGGGGAGAAGAACTCGAACTCGTCATGAGGCAGGCTGCACTATTTTGTACTGACTGGAACTGATGAAGTGAGGGCTGTAAAATGCCAAAATAAAGTGCTTTACGTAATCAATATCACGTGACCTGTCCTGTATATATCGAGAGAATAGACATACATTGATTATATTACCTCAGACTATTCCAACCTGCTCATTGACATACAGTACTTGGCGTCGATCCATCCATTTTTTGTTTTGCTTCATAAGGCGGGAATTTTTGGCACAATCTACCAATATTATCTCCAAAAACACTTTGGAGGTCTTCTTTTTCAACAAATCCAGTGAAATAAAGGAAACTGCCAGAAAGCCCATCCTCACTGACCCTAGTTTATTATAATCACCAGTCCTATTATGTACTTTTTCTCATGTGCCTAAATGTTATACTTCTCCAGCTTATAATGTGGTCTTTTTTCATTTTTTTCATACCCTCCGCTCTCTCCTCTGCGAACGACTAGGGCGGACCTCGGCTCTTGTCTCCCCTCTCACTCCATAGCTGTAATTAAACCACAGATAAACCCCAAATTATGTCACTTGTTTCGCTTCCCTTCCTGTGTTTTTCTCGTTAATTAGCCACGGTTGTCGTGGAAACCGCCTCGTTCTCCTTTTTAAACACAGCACAAGTTCAGTCTGGGGTTAGAAAAACATTTTAAAAGCAGGAGAGCGGTTCTGTACAGAAATCTGGACCGGGCTCTCAAACAGATTGTCTCGGGGCTGTGGGCGATTCTCAACATGTCAAAGCAAATGTTGATGTACTTTTTATTATAGTTTCTAAAAGATATAAAACTGACGAACATGTGAAAGCACTTGAAATGTGTGTCATCTTAGTTCTGGACAAGACCTTGCACTATATTTTCTAGAGACAAGCCCATTTTCTCCCGGGACTACAGGAGAATAATAGAGCTTTTGTCTAATTCTGGTTCATGCCTTCAAAAAAAGCAAACACTAAATGTCTCGTGGGTTCGTTAATAAAATAAATTTTGGTTTGTTTTACTTCCTTTTCTTCCTTATGGGTCTAAATTCATAATAACTGAACACACTCTTGGTTTACCATCTATGTTTGAATATGGATATCAAATGCAGTCTTTTTATGCATTTTTATATTTGTCTGTTTGTGTTTTTATTCTGATGTTTTGATTATGTTTCTAACTTGCTGTAACACCTTGAGATGTGCATTGCAAATGTAAGGTGCGTTAAAAGAAAAAAAACTATTATTATCATTATTATTATTATCATTAGCTCTATTCTGCATGCGTGGTGCTATGTGTAGTGGGTGCAGCTCTGACTGCCACCCCCCGCGACCCAGAAATGGATTAAGGAGAAGAAAATAGATGGATGGATGGATATTCTGCATGCATTAGAGAATTAGAACAATGATCACTCAAAAATAACCAAAACAAGATATTCTGTAATTTTGCATGAACAACAACTGTGCCACTACATACAGTACAATCTCAAACTACTAATAAAGCCAATACACAGGTTCTATAGATGTTTTAAATAAGAATATATTTTTAATTTTGGCTCTACATTTAAATACATTATTCTGTATTTCAATTACATTATTCTGAAATTTATCACCACACCCAATTTAAAAACAGCCTGTTCCAACCATGCCTGATCTCTGCCATTTATTCTGTGTGTAAAATGGACAAACTATATCTCCGCTGTGGCGACAGTGTGACCACCGTTGGCCCGAGGAGGGAGTGATGTGATCGGCTCTAATTCTGTTGGATCTGTTTTGCTGCTGCTGGTTTTATCATTTTGATCTGATTTGTGGAACTAACCTGCTGCATGTAACCTGATCAGAGATACGGCGTTATCAGGGGAGAGCGGAGGGGACTTTAGATCAGGCACAAAGTGAATGAGGCTGCGGTAAACACCAGGATGGATGGACGCCGTTCTGGAAAAAAAAAACCTTGAAGTACATTATGACTGTGATGCACTTCATAATATATCTTTCAACAAAAATCAAACAACTGTGAAATTTGAAAAAGCACTATGCCATAACAATAATAATAATGTTTTTCTAATCTTTAAAAAAAAATAAAGTTTAAACTATCACAGTGTTTTTCAACCTTTTTTGAGCCAAGGCACACTTTTTTCACTGAAAAAATCTTGCGGCACACCTCCAGGAGAAAATGTAAAAATGTATACAGTACTAATGTAAAAATATATACTGTACATACTCTGTGTGATATATAAAGTATATCTTATCTTATCTTATAATGTATACAGTATACTCTGTAGCCTATATTCACAATATACAGTTATTCTCATCAAAATGCTTAAGTCCAGGCCTTGATATTAAGCTTTATTTAATATTTCTCGATACAATTAACAAGAGTTTGGGAATAAAGTGGCACTAACTGTGTGGAAAAAAACTAAGAAAATCCACTCTCTACCCAAATAGTCAAATAATAACTCACACAAAGAACATGCATTGTTAGTGCATGGGAAAAATTTAGGTATCCGAGCTTTAAATTCAGGAGTTTTGGATGAGGGACACGGGAGGTCCTGAACGCGAGTCCATGGTTCTGTCCGGTCCGCATGTCTGTGGTTCTGTCCACTCGACTATGGTCTGCGCTCGGTACCCAGTTCAGAAGTGCGTTCGCGAGAGCTGTTGTACAAAAATTGTACATTTCATAGTTAAACCACTACAACGCGGCCACAGCTGCCCCGGGGCAGAGCGGAGGATGTTAATCCTGTTCAGAAACGGCATAATTCATTTTCAAAAACGTCTCTATCATTTTCACTTCTCACTCGCCACAAAGCTCTTGTCTCGCTCCCTCCCACATTTGTTGGTCGCATCCAATTTTACCTTTCTCGCCACAATGCTGACCTGTTACAGCCTGTGGTCGCATCCAATTTTTCAGTTTCAAAGTACTTAGCTATCTGCTGCCATCTACTGATTTGAAAAAGTATTACATGGTTACTCACAGTTCAAAACAAGTCGCCGCTCGTCAACAGCGAATGCAGTTATTTTTAGACAAAGTAGACGAATTTCTCACGGCACACCAGACAATATCATACGGCACACTAGTGTGCCGCGGCACAGTGGTTGAAAAACACTGAACTATCATCACAATCAGATCTCTTCAGTTATTTATTGATTGATTTTAAGTATTCATTTGAGCAGACATTTTACATTCACAAGTATTTACAATATTTACATTCCTTACAGTATTTGACATGACCTTTTGCCCATGTTGCCTACTGTGCTGTGTTATTTAATATCTTGCTGATAATATAAAACACTGGGGAAATATTAGTAGTTTATTGAGAATAGGATTGTATTGTGAAGCCGATTTGCTAATGGAAGTTTGAAAAGCAACTAGGGTGAACAAAAGAAAATAATGAAAGTAGTGGGATTGCAAATGCGAAAAAACGTCTGTGTGGGTTGCTGAGAAGATGTGGAAGACAGGAGAGGACCGGCATAACACCAGGAGAAACACAGGAGAGGATCAAAAGAGAAGTGGCCCTGTGGAAAACACTTTTTTTTCCAGAGAGGCAAAATCTCTTTAAATACCTTTAAATAATTGTAGTGCTAATTGTGTCCCCTAGAATTGTGATGTTGATTCTATAATTATCTGTGCTTGATTGGAGCTGGAATAATATAGTCGTACAGATGTCTGTATAGTGAGGACATTTTGGTTTTATTGATCTATTATTAATTACAATAACAAACAATGATTTGTTAGCGTTCTGAATGTTATGGCCCTGGAGCAACACATGAATCTTTTTCACAGTTAAAAGTTTGACACTGAACACTCATCACGAGCTCAGTCATGACCCGAAAACTGTTTGTAATTTAGTGCTTTTCAAATGATCAACAACTTTTATCTGTCTGTAAAAGAAGCTGAGGTTTGTTCAGACTTTGAGGATAAACTAATTGTTCTTGTGTGGAAAGGCAGTTTTCAGAAATCTGTCTCATTTTACAAATTATGATGCCGACTGTTTCTTATTAGAATAATTATTGTCATCTTACTACAATTACAAACTTGCACCTGATATTAATGAATGAGTCTGTCTCATACTGATCAATCTACATTTTTTGAAATTCATTATACTTTTGCCCACAGGTTTGAAAAAGCACCTAACTTTGGGTTTGCATTATAAAGAAAACCATTGTGAAAGGCAAAAGACGAGAAGTTTGTGCTGCTGTCTGTGGCCCGGTTCTTTCTCCAAAACAGTTTGGGAGAAAGAATAACGGTTTTTAATCAACCACATAATCAGGGGCTCTTGATAAGAATGCACATGTTGATAATCAAAATTGAGAAAAGATTATTTTTAGCACAGCCTAGACTTTCGCTGATACAATTGTCCAACAAAGAGGCTTTAAACATCCTCTTTGTTGGACAATAATTAAGCTACAACTTTGAACACAGACAATTCTACAAAACAATATAATGCAGAATTTCTAAAACTGACATGACCAATTGTAACTATCAATAAAATTAATCACGTTTTGATAGAAGTTTTAGTATCAATGAATATCTATTTTTGACACTTTTGACAACAATACATTCGAAACAATGGCAATATTTAACAATGCAGTGTATATTGATATGATAATTTAAAAAAACATGGGGGAAACATGATTTATGTGTTTATCACAGCAGATGTAACGACGTGTTATTGGGCACATCCTCTACAACGACCATTATAAGCGCTAGTAATGGGAATAATGGTAATATCAATGCCTCCATAATGTAATGCATCATAATAATTTCCCATTATGTGCTGTGCCCTTTATAAAGAGCAGGGTTCTGTCTGTGTGATGTGATCTCTCAGTAAAAATACACTCTGGTATAAATAGCAGAGCCAAACTCCACACTCGCTCCGCTCTAATGGACACTAACTATTCCCCGGCTGCGCGTACGTTAGCTTAACTACCTGATCCGTGTTCACAAAGCGCTAACCGGTGTGTTCTTCATGTGTCTGCAGTGATCTCCTGATGAAGACAGCTGCTTCTCTTCCTCTCCTCCACGCTCCACTTTAAACAGGTAAACAAACTTTTAATCACTCAATGTGTAGCTTATTTTTAATGTAAACAGATGAATAGTGATAAGTTATTTGATCCAATTTATGTTGTGTTAGCTCCTCCTACTATACTTTTTGCTGAACTCTAATTGGTCGGATTTGTGACTTAAATGGCGTGGAAGGATTATGTCCTGAGGTTGGAGTTATATTAATGTTAGCTTTATTGAACTAAAGTAAATGATCACCTTGCTATACTGCATTTGTAAATTCCACTGAGAATTTACCAACATATACATATTGGTACGTTCATTTCTGTCATTAAATCTTCTCCAATGTAAAAATGTGTCTGTACAAAACTCCTATCTATCAGTTGCAGTAAAATAATCAAGTTATTTAGTTTTTGAAATTAATATGAATTGAATCAAATTTCAATCTAACTCAATGTGTATTATGTATTTATCTTAACGTTAATTGTTAAACCTCTTTCGACTTTTAAGCCAAGAATTGTGTGTGTGAAATGGCCCTAACTGTCATATTGAAAGTAATTTGATGTTTTAAATAAGAAACATATCAAAGAAACACAAACAGAATGGTGGCAGATATACTGCAGAGTTTAAATACCCCAGCTGTGTTTTTGCACAAAGAAACTTTCTGTGATCGATAGTATACTTGGAATACAAATCCAGCACCACATGAATCATATGTAAACTGGATACATTCTCTCCCTGAGGCTGAAATGTGTTTTTTCCCTTTTATTTAGTAATAGTCAAAAGCCCTAATGTCTTTGTCCATCACCGTCAGCCTCGCCTCTTCTTCCTCTTCCAGTCAAAACAGAGCGCTTATTGTCCCCATTATCTCGTGCAGTTAATGTATCCGTTCATTATCTACCAGTGTTCAGCACAAACTTTTCGGAAAGAAAGATTCAACAAAGTGTTTTCCCGTTGGAGTGTCTCGTGAGAAGAACTGCGATCCTCAGGGTCAGAGGAGTGAGAAAACCACTGTAGCCAACTGAAGCCATTCAACTGGAGAATGAGATTTTTATTATGTTCACTCAAACACATTTGACATGTTTTTCCACCCGTTTCTTCTTTCAAGTTTCTTGACAGCGTGCGATCATTCTAATAAACAGATTTTATGCATGGGAAATTTATGATTGAACTGCTATATGTCAGGTCTGCACTCAAACCTCATCAAGGACTAACCCAAGACCAAGAGACTATCATGTATTATTGTATGGTCAGTGAGGTTAATATGTGCGTTTTAGTATCTTAAAATGTTTGTGCATGTTTTAGATCTTGTGCTAACTAATACCGGTAGAAGTGTAAATTATGTCTCAAATCTATGAACTTTGAATCCAAGTGCTTTTGTGAAAAGTGCTTATATACTGTGAGTATATAAGCACTTTAACGCAAGAAGATCAGAGGAGATATAAAGACAAGCTAAAATTAAGTATATGAGACCGAACTGAACAAATTCAAAGCCCCTTCAGGGCCTCTGTCTTAGCACCGATCTGCTGCGAGACATTTATTCTTACTTAAAACCCGGGACACTTCACGCAAGAAGGGTCCGTGGTGAAAATCCATTTATCGCGTTTTTCACCGCGGTTTATCCCCGTCGCAGTAAAGTGGTCCGCGGGGATGAGCAGCCAAAATACAATGTTCATCATCACAGTGAACAAGTGTGCAGTGAAAGTAGTTGCAAAACTTAATTTTCTTAAATGTATTTTTATCCCCTTATCCCCCGGCTTCTCTTTCTACGTTTACCGAAGGTAACAGCATAAAAGGACAACCCCCTTTTAATGTGCAGACCACTTTACCACCATTGTTTTTCGCTGTTCTTTTCCGAAGGAATTCGATAAAAATCTTTATCTGTCCCCAGTGGGCTGTACAACCGATCACACAACAAGAATTGACCATTTGATTTAGTAAAACCTCTCTCCAAACTTCTAAAACTAGCTAACTCTCTAGCATCCAGCACTTTTCTATGCTGTTTTGCCACCCGGTCACGTGACCGGCGGGAAAAAAATATAAACAACGATGTCACTCACAGATCCAGTGGTTCTAAAGCTTTTCACTCATGGAAGTCAGTTCAGTTCAGTTTATTACAAATATACAGTAGAAAATGTACACATTCAATCAGTTACATAAAAATGCACATTTGTAGATAGAATAGATAATAGATAGAAGCTATACTTGGCTCAAAACATGGCCCAATCACATAACATAAATACAATACAGCTACAATAACAGCAGCCAAGAAATGCATGAAACTCGTACAATCCACTGCTGAATAGAATTAATCTAAATATAATCAGGTAAAAACTTGTCCATTATAGTCAATTCAAACACAGTATTGTGTTTATGTCCAAAGTTTAGTTAAATACAATACAAAACATTTAGAAATGTATACAAAATCCTTTCACACCCCCTGACGTGTCTTGAGTGCCCCTTGAGGGTCCTGTCTTGAGGGTCCCACTCCCGACTTTAAGAACCACTCATTTAAAAAGAAACTCCAGGCATGTTTTTGATGAGGGAACAATGTCGCCACAGGGGTAGTAAATTCTGTTTTTAACAATCAGGACTAAATGAAGGAACACACCTTTTTCCCTCATTTGAATCGATATTGCGTTATGCTGAGTTCAAAGAATCCTCTGGTTTCCCATAAGTCCAGACTGGCTTTTTGTAACGGAAATAGGATTTAGAAACAATATTGAGTGTGTTTTTTTTTCTCCCATAGACAAGATAATAACTATTCTTTGCTGCTGCTTCCCTTCAGTGCGGTCACATGACTCTGGTGTGTGTCTGTGACCCCCCCATCATTACCAAGCCCTCACTCTCTTCCAGGACCCCCCGTATATGCATTCACGCTCGGCTGGTCCTCCCCCATCACTTATCCTGTCTTTTCATGAATTCTCTCAATGCCTCAAATGGTTTTAGACTATGGGGTCTTGTTTTGACCTTAGTTCTGTTCAGATGTGGTCTGGTTTAGCCCTATAGGTTTCTCCTTGTATAAATCAGATGTAGTCCTAGTCCTGGTTTAGTAATGCAGTTCAAGTTTAGTTGTTTTAATGGGGGCGTGCTTTTGAATATTAGTGTGAATACTTAAACAGACCTGGTGTTGACCAAGGCAGCATGAGTTCTGGGCACTGCTGGATTAGACCATGATTTTGTTTTTGTCTTGTATCCTTGCCTTGAATGTAATATCCCAAGTTATGAATAAAGTATTATATTGTTTTGAAGATGCGGCCATTTATTTTCAAAAAGCTAATGATATAAACGTTTTGTCTTTATGTTTCACTGAGCGGATCAAGATCTATGTATTTCTCCCTTTCTTTTGTAGTACGGGCTGCAACAAAGAGAATAGGATTTGGGTATTCTTTAAAATCTTATATTTCGTCCCAGGCAAAGAGAAATATTCACATTTTGTTAGGTTTTTTTCTTTGTAGTTGTGATTTTTAAGTGTCACCATCAGGTTATGGTTAGGGTTGGAGTTAGATATGTCAATACTGTACTGTATACAGTACTGGCTACTGACAATCAGTCTGATGCATAAACTGGATTCATTTCACTGGATTCATCTGAAATTTCAACATCATCAATAGTTCGCTCCACAGTACCTTTTAACCAATCGTTCCCGTTAAGTCATGATGTACGTTTAGTCATGATGTTAGTTTGGTCATGACGTAAGTTTGGTCATGACGTAAGTTTGGTCATGACGTAAGTTTGGTCATGACGTAAGTTTGGTCATGACGTAAGTTTGGTCATGACGTAAGTTTGGTCATGACGTAAGTTTGGTCATGACGTAAGTTTGGTCATGACGTAAGTTTGGTCATGACGTAAACTTCCTCTTTGTGTTGGTTTTAAAACCACAGTTTAATTCCTTCACAGAATGTTGGACTTGGTCTACATCCATCCCCACCGTTTTTTTTTCTGCTTTGTTGAACTACAAATGGCCACTGATTGGCCAATTATACTTTATTTTTCTCTGAGCCTACTGCATTTCAGCAACACCTGACAATGTCATGCGCCAAATCTTTCAAAAGCTAATGTTTCGATTATTCAACATATTTTCTTATTCTTACATTTTGATTTAGTCTTGGTTTAGGCTTTGTTTTGATTCCCGACTGGTATCGTCCACCAGTTTTGGATAAATTCTGTCTTAAATCTGGTTGGTCCTCGTCCAGTGCTTGTCCAATCCAAGCTGCGTAATAGCTTGGCTGAGCAACATTGAGAAAAAAGGTTTACATTTTCACAAAAATCTTGCAAACACAGCCAAAAAGTGTGAGTGTATTTATATGGAACAGAAACCATGTCCTTCTGGAAATGTTTGTCCCTTTTGAAAAACAAGTTTGAAAAGGGACACTTATAACTATAGGACTAAAACTAAAGGGTTTAGTCCTATAGTTTGCTCCTGGTTTAGACATGTGTTTTGTGTTTTAGCTGTTTCTAGCTAATGCAGCCCTGGTTTACTCCTCGTTCCGTCACTCTCCTCCTCCACTCCCCACACTCTTGTCCTTGAATCTTTGTCTCTGCTGCATAGCTGTATACATTTGCAGAATAATAGTGTTTTCTCTCAAAACAAAGCGTTTTATTAAAAGTCAGTGCGACGTTCCCTGGGAGAGGTGCTAATGTTTGTCTGAGGAATCAATAAAGATCCACCCATTCAAAACCCAGCCTTGGACACAAACTGAAGAGGTTTCCTAATGAAGCGATTGTGAATAGAAGCGAGAGGCGCTGGGGATGGGAGCAGACAGTATAGGGGAGGTTCCATTGACTTGGGAACAGCCATTTTTTATATCCAAACCATTTTCTTCCACACCACTATTTTCCTATATCCATTAATCTCCCTCTCTCTTTCCAGTTGCTCAACTCCCTTATCTCTATGCTACTTTCAAACTGAAAGAATATTAAATTGCAATACTGCGGCTAAAACCACTTTTCATTAGGGGTTTGACAACATGTCTGCTGCAAGTTTT